AGTGACTTGAATACTCGAGACAGCTCACCTGTGTCTGATTTTCATGGTAACTATGGTCCTAGTGAGCGCGAACGTGCCTACCCGACCCGGTACGGTCCTGGGGGTGACTTAGGCTATACTCATGAAGGTGGATACAGGTCCCGGCACAATGACCTCGATGAGCGTGGGCAATCACTATCTCCCTATCATAGTCGTCGAGTTGGTGGAGGGAGTTACCGCGAGGAAGGATACCCTCAAGGTCCCGGTAGGAGATTTCAGGATTCGAGATGGGATGAAGGTGCTCATTTGGACTATGATGCTATACCACGAGCATTCCGTCGCGATCTGCCCAATCCCCAAGGCCTCCTCCCGCTACTTAATGTCCTCCTTGCTCCTCGAGCGTTTTGTGATGTTTGTCGTTGATTTTCTCTTTTCACCTTATGTGTCGCTCATGCCTACATTCGCTGCTCAAGTGTTTTTGGACGTTTTTAGTTGATCTGCTCTTTTCGCATCATGTGTCGCTCGTGCCTGCATTCGTCGTCTGTTTAGTCTCATTGGCCCTGTCTCATACCCGCGTGTTATACCCTACCCCACCTACATTGATATCTTTGTAACTCGTTTTTGTCAATATCAGTATAGCAGCTCCTCCAAGCCTGCTGTTGCCTCCGAGATCATTAATATGCTTGCCCGGATCTGATGTTTCCGTTAATCAGAACATCGCAACAAGTAGATTAAAACATGAAGAAAGTGTTATGAACTAGGATGGTTCTGACGTATGGCTACTCGATAAGAGTAATTGGCCAAGGTCGGTTCAAGGCTTCGGCGTATACCGAAGTTTCAGGGTTTCTTAAGACAAGGCAAGGAGAGTGTCCTCAACTTGAATCACGTTCAATACAACCTAAGATTGGAGGTCTTAAGCGAAGGAAGTTCCAGGTAAAACCTAGTAAGATTAAAGTAAAGAACTACATAGTACAGGACGAGTTTATATAGTGAACGGTAACGACTTTAGGGCCGGTACAATGAGATCATAGAGACGAGTCAGAGATAAGACGAGTCAGAGATAAGGCGAGTTAGAGATAAGACGAGTTAGAGATAACAAGAATAGATCATCTAGCGACGGCAAGATGCGATCGTGATGTAATACAATGATGTAAGGGAAAGAAAATGAATAGGGGCGTACTTGACTGTAACAGAAAGTACGAGATAATTGAAATAACATGAGTACAAGACAACCATGACTTGAATAAAAATAACATAGGCACCAAAGGATCAAATAACATAAGGAATGTCAGAGACTGTCAGAGACCCTCGACGAAAGCTAGAGGCCTCCCGAACCTCCCGAACTTCACACATGACCCTCCATTGCAATGTAAGACAGCCCTCCAACCAGTATGGAGGTCTTCATTGCGAGGTCCTGGAGGATACTCTGAAACCTCTGGCGGAATAGAGTGGGAGACCCTCTGGAGAGGGTGGTCTCACAGACTGCTTTCCCATCACATAGAAAGCGGGTCTAACAGACCGCGGGAACACGAGCATAGTGCTGCCAAGGGTGGGACGGCAGCACTCACACCTTCCCTGACAACAGCTGCATGCGGAGACACAATGTACTGCTCGAGAGCGACACGAAAAGAGGGAACATACCCCCGCTTGTCCTGAAGATAGCGCCGCTTGTCGAAAACATAGAAAGAATGTTCGAAGATAATGACACCAGCTAAATGACCAATAATAAGCAGGTTCATCGTAACATAACCTCGAAATTCACCAGAAATGAGCTGAACATCACTCTCCAATGGTGATGAGCCAGAGGCCTGGCACATTCGCAACATCAGAAATGTGTACAATGTGTGACCATTTGGACATACCACAGAGAGTAACATAGACCCCATCTCTTCATGATGATTCGCATACAACTGGTCAAATCATGGTGGAAAGTTGAATATCGTCCACCTCTGCTGAGGATCGATACACCCACATCCTGCCAATGTGTAAAATCTTCGGTCAGCATGGCCCGAAATCAAGAAAGGACGAAGAAACTAACTTCCTATTGATGGATGAGCGGTGTCGTCGGTGAGCAACACTGGAAGATTAAAACACTCACAGTCTGTTAAGGGATGTGCGATTTCAGTCATAAGCAAAGCTCAAACTCGACGGAAGATCAGCACACTGACTTCCTGTCATTGCATGAGTAATGTCAGTGGTGAACAGGGCTGAAGCTCGATTGGGGGTGAAGAGACTCACCATCTGTCAATGTATCAACGATGTCATCGATCAGCAACGCCCGCACTCGACGGCAGATGAACACACTAACAGTCTGTCAATGGGGATCGATAATTTCATTGGTCAGTGATGCTCCAATTCGACTGAGGATCGATGTGCTTACATCCTGTGAACGGATGGGCGATGACTTGAGTCAGAACGGCTCAAGCACAATGATGGATCGACCAACTCACAATCTGTTAACGGAGCAGCAACATTTTTGGTCAGCATTGCGCGAGGGTGACAGAAAATGAATACACCCACACCCTGACAATGGATCAATGATTTCATCGATGAGGGAGGCAGGAGGTTGACAGAGGATGGTCACACTCACAAGCTGTCAATGGATCAACGATTTCGTCAGGTCAGTGGCTCAAGGTCGGTAGAGGATCAATGTACTGACCTCCTGAAGATATATCATCAGTTGCTTTGGTCAGGAATGCTAGAACTTGACAAAAGATCAATGCGCTCACGTTCTATCAATGGATGGGAGATGGCTTCATTCAAGAAGGCTCAAGTTCGAAGGAGGATCAAGACACTCACTCTCTGCGAACAGTGGGCAATGACTTGGATCAGCATGGCTCGAGCTCGAAGGAGAATTAACAGACGTACTACCTGCAAGTAAACACCCAATGTAAATGAGGGCAACCTTCGAACTTTCTGATAATCTTACCCAGATATGTGGGGACCAGTCGCCCAATTTTGCTATTATCACCTGATGACCCGTTGTCTTAGCAGAGTCAAAAAGTCCTGGGAGTGTTCTGGAAAATATCAGTCGTGAACACTTGCGGCAGGTAAATGAAACCATGGGTAGTTACTTCTCAACTGCATATTTCATGCAGAGTTCCAAGTTGGTCTGTTGGGTTGAGACGAATAATTGCTGCAGTACATCACTATCCAGAGTTGCAGCAGTGCGTTCGATGAGTGGCCCGCAATCTGCATCATCCTTGTCCATGTCTAATGGATCAATGGACATCATGTATCGTAACTCCACCATCAACTGGCTTACTGGGAAGACATATATGGCATTTTGGAGGCCATCGGACATCCTTGAGAAACTTCAGTTGTGGTCCATTAGTAAATGAGTCCTCGGCATGTTCCAGCGCCAGTTCTTTAGCGTCTTTCCACGGTGTTCCTTTCTCTCTCAGCTGTCTGAATTCGACGCCATAGAGGGCATCAAACTTTGTAAACAATGCCATCACTGGAACTGAGGATTGTGAATCTGCGCATCAGTGGAAAATCAATGTTGGCCAGCTGCGAAAGCTTACTGCTTCCAGTGTCGCACTGAGAGAAAAACTTATTTTCGCCTTCTGTGAATGATCTGCTTGCCTCGTCCATCGGGATACAGTACCTATGTTGAAACTTTGAGGTAGCGCATGTCGTGATTGATTAGTTGCAATTACCATATGACATGGAGTTGATCTTTTAATTTGGTTTCCTTAGAACGATCCGCGATAAATGCCTTAACCTTGTTGAATTGGATTCGCTGCCTGCTTCAAACCCGCGTGAATCGTGAAAGACAAATCCAGGGTTGCTGTGAAATATCATTTCATTTTCAATATCGTGCTCTCCACGCTGAGAACGCGTCAGTTCATGCTACCAACTAATAGTACACGTTACCTCTCTGGATGCCTTTAAAACTGCAGGATCAATCTGATGTCGATGGGTCAGTCATCAGTACCAACCTCTTACTAGCACCATGAGGCACACCTTTTCTCCAGCACTGTTAAAGATTACTGGGTTGTCCCGTGTGTTGCAAACTCTCTGGAGGATGGTAGTTTTTCCTGCATTGGCTCTTCCTATAACGAGGATTCGAAAGCGACCGATTTTCTCTCTTATCATTGATGGATCCATGAGGGAAGCTTGATATGATGGAGAAGCGTTGGTGTAGCCTTGTAATCGATTGCTGTAGTGTGTAAACCCGGCAAATACCTGACCCGAAGTCAGCATCTAGATTCCGCGGGCTTAGGGCAATGTTGATATATATAGCTGTACAGTACCATGAGGTGTACACGTGGCCGTTTCAGAGTGGATCGCGAGCCCGCGAGCGTTGACGTGTGAAACATGGCCTTTGTAAGCGGGCCCATGTGCAGATTCTCCAAGACGGGTGCTTCAATCTTAACGAAGCACACGTCTCGCTCCTCTCATTCTTAAGGGTCAGCTCGAGAACAGATTCTCCATTCTTTCTTCTTCTCTGCGCTCATCCCCATTTGCGCGTCGCTCGACATTTTTTGTCCATCCCCACATCAACAACCCCGCAATTACGAGACTCTTCATCCATGGCTTACATTACCAATGTCCCCGGCCCCTCGGCCAGTTCTTCGTCTTCTACTGGCAATCCTTCTCATGCTAACAACGCTCCTGTTTCCTCCAACAACTCGGTCGGACAGATGTCCTACAGACCAGATAGTCGCTGAGAATCTTAGAAGAGCCACTGACAACGCAGCCCTGCAACAGTGCAGAGACGCAGGAGAAGCAAACATCCCTGCAGACGAACTTCTTATCCCCGTTCCGCCGCAGCCCTCAGGCACAGCTCTACAACAATGGATTTCGGCCTTCGCCCAACTCTCTCCCAACTCACAGAATCAAGGAACTGCCATTCTGACTCCCAAAGCCGTAGTCAGACCCAATATTTCTGCGGTTTCGAAAGTCCTCTTTGACTCCTCCAAAGAGGCACCGTCTGGAGCCGGCCTTGACTCTACATACAACTTCGGCATTCATCAGAAAATTCACACATTCCTTATTTTGCCCTTAAACAGACTTATTCACACTTAACCACCTTGTTGAAAGTGGATCTACTTGTCTGAAATTTCAACTTGAATGTATTAAGAAAAAAATGTTGAGATGTATTAATGGACATATTTTATTATGTTCCACATTAAAAAAATATCAGATATGCCAGGTGAATGATGTGAGAGAGACAAAACAAGTTTTGAGATAAGTGAGATAAGCTGATTAAGGATGTTAAGGAATGTGTGAATTTACTGATGTCACTTCATACCTTCATCCAAGACCTCTTACTCGCAGGCCAATACTGTCCTCTCACGTTATTCACTAATGCCAACACAGAACGTCTTCATCACGAAGGTCATTCGCTCAAAAGGTGCAAGATCAACCTCGGCGGCGCCTCATTTCACCTTCTCGATCTCTCTCAATTTGAGAATGAGCTCGACATAGACCCACTCTCGTGGCAAGAAGCATATCAACGTTACCCTCACATGGATTAAGGACATCGGTGACTCTAACTCTCTCTTATGCTGGACTAATCATTTTTACCACCCTCTCTAAAGACGATGCAGTGTGCAAGAACTTCCATGCCATTATTGAGTTCGACGTCGAAACACGTCAGAACTATACTCTACGCCCACATCAACACAACCAGGCAGAGTGGAACCGTCGCCTACAGAATAAAAAATACGAGACTATGCAAGACATTATGTTTCGTGCGCAAGAACAGCTATCCCGCAGCATGCTTCCAGATCGCAACTCATCATCATCCTCCCGATACGAGCCTTACAATAACCCATCCAAGCCAAAGGCCAAGAAGGTCAGCGACGCGGACATGCAATCCTTTCAAGACAACAAGTCTTCCAAAGTCTCCGACCCCATGTGCATTATCTGTGGACGCACTGGACATCGTTTCTCAGCATGCTCTGAAGAGACTTCGTTGAAAGGAGCACAAAATTATGCGAAGTATTCTGATGGTTCACTCTGCAGACGCTCCAATGGCTCTCAACTCTGCATCACCTACAATCTTAACAATCCCAAACGTCCTTGCAAACAAGAGCACACAGAGCAACATCTCTGTTCTTTCTGCGGACGCGCAGAGCACAGCGCTCTGTCGCATGTCTGCATTTGAACTTCCCGTTGGAGATCTCTTCTTGGGTCTGCTTGACGAGGACCATTTCTTGACATGCAATTCAGACTCATCATTTGCCCCGCCTCCTCCTCCATGTCACATATACTGCAACAATTTACAGCCCTCTTGCTCACCGTACGATGACGACCCAGAGTACTCTTATATCAATACACCATATTCGGCGGATGGCTTTGACATGCTTCTTGAACGCACGGGCCTCACAGGTCAATTCCCAGAGCTTACATATAAGCTTTGCAACGGCTTTCCTATAGGCCATAATCTCTCTCCTCTCACTGCTTCCTACACTCCCAATAACCTTCCTGGTGCCAAACTTTTCAAGACAGTCTGTGACGAGTATGTTGCAGAGGAACTTGCCAAAGGACGCTATTCTGGACCCTACTCCCACAAAGAGTTATTTGCAAAAATTGGACACTTCCAATCCTCTCCGCTGCAGGTGGTCGTCAAAAAGGGTATAGATGGGACTCCAGACAAATACTGTGTTTGTTGTCATCTTTCATATGCTGGCTCAATGGGTCATTCTGTCAATGACGAGATTGACGCAGAGGATTATCCTACCGAATGGGGCACCACTGCTGAATTCGCAGAAATTGTATGTCTTAACCTCCAATCTCATCTCTTCTCCTCGTATGTACATCGTCTCGGACGCTCTTTGCGAGAATTTTGTAATGCATAGGGCATACACAATTTTTCCGTTTGAAGGCACGATTCGTCACATACACATATCATACTCTTTGCACGTGTTGCTCGCATCATCTCACCCATGCACATCTCAGATTCGGCACGCCCCTCCTGGAGCTCAATTTGCTACTCTCGACATTGAAGCTGCCTACCGGGGTATACCTTACGCACCAGAGCATAAGTGTTATCTAGTCGTTTACCATGAGGGTAAACTATACATTGATCACAATATCCCTTTCGGCTTAGCTTCAGCCGCAGGTCTCCAGGGAGAAGTCGCCGATGCGATGGTTCATATATGGCGTGTACTAGACGTCAAACTGTCAAAGAGATAGGTCGACGACATCGCTCTTTTTCATTTTCCTTCGGCTAAAGGCCTGTTTCTGGGCATCTCCAATGGCAAGGTCTACAGGTATGACTACGACCTCTCACATGCCAAATCCCTCGTATCACCTGCCAAAGTCCCATGGCATGAACTCAAAGGACAACTCTTCGAAGACGATGATGTATATGTCGGCTTCTTTTGGGACGTTCCTCGCAAGACCGTGATTCTACTCGAACGCAAACATCTCAAATACGTCGCTCGCCTCTCATCCTTCCTCTCTCGCTACTCAAACTCTCAAGTACCCAAACACGAACTCGAACAAATCACGGGCTGTCTCAATCACGCTGCTTTCTGCTATCCCAAAGGCAGATCATATCTTCCTAGCCTCTATGGGGATATGGCCACTTACATAGCAGAATTCGCTCCGCGCTACATCAGCAGATCCACCAAGGCAGATCTGAAATGGTGGCATCGCACTCTCTCTCTCACTCCAACACCTCTAGATCTCTCACTCCAACACCTCTAGATCTCTCACCACGACCACCCACCAGAGATTATAACATCTGGGTGGATGCCTCGACGGGCACAGGCATCGGTCTCTTGTGGAATGGACGATGGGCTTTCTGGCATACAGCTGCAGATTGGCGTGGTCCTTCACGTGATATCGGATGGCTCGAGGCCACGGCAGTAGAGCTTGCCGTGTGTCTTATTCACGCCAAAGGCATTCGGGATGCTGATGTCCTAATTTGCAGTGACAACCAAGGAGTCATCGCCACCTTTCAGAAAGGCAGGTGCTCCAATTACATGATTAATCTCGCTATCCGACGTTTCGAGGTTCTCATGCGGGAATCTTGCTTATCACTCTCCCTCGTGTATGTGCACACATCAACAAACCTTGCGGATCCTATCTCCCGAGGTATATTTCCCTCAGACCAGCTTCACCTCTCATCCCCACCACCCTTACCCTCAGACATCTCCTCCTACTTTGTCCCATGAACAAAAGCGATCTCTATCGTCGAGTTATGCGAGGGGTTGACATTGAGGCTGCTGCCAGCGTCTTTCTGGGCATCTCACCCTCCATCTACCATCCGTCAATCTGTCTCTCAATCTCTGCAGGAAGCTCATACTCGCACTCCACGTCCCCCTCGTGCCAGTTCCACCATCACTCCATCTGAACATCGGCCTCATGTTCTTGCTAGCGACCGACTTCTTCTATGGTCTACTCCATCTGGCTCAGACTGGCAAGCCAATCTTGAGCAGAAGTACCCGAACTCCTCTCTTTTTTGTCTTTTCAAGTATGCCTCTCGCGTCATCACTCTCACATCATTTCAACTCATCTTCTCTCAGGTCATGATCTGTTCTCTTGACACTGACACTCGTAGTAACTACGGTGCCGGACTTCTTCATTTCACGCAGTTTTGTGATTCCATCAAGATTCCCGAAGTCGAGCGCATGCCTGCTTCCGAGGCTCTCATCTCCCAATTCATGGCAGCCTTCGTGGGTACCTCTTTGGAGAAAACACTCAATAACTGGTTAGCAGGTCTACAGTTTTGGCATATCATTAATGGCGCTCCATGGCATGCCTCTCAACTCCTTCATCATACGCGACGTGGCTTCGCTAAGATGGTGCCTCCATCCACTCGCAGAGCCAAGCGACCACCCATCACCATAGACGCCTTGTGCATCCTCTTCGACAATCTTGATCTCACCCTCCCGTTTGATGCCGCTGTATGTGCTGTTGCACTGGTAGCTTTTTGGTGCTGCTGTCACTTGGGCGAACTCGTCATCCAGAGTCCCAATCTCTTCGACCCTTTCAAACACGTATCTTGTTCCGCTGCTCCCATATCTGCCTTCATCCTACAGAATCAGGAGCAGACGTGGGCAGCAGTCTTCCACATACCTTGGACAAAGACCACCAAAGAGCAAGGTGCAGACATTTCCATCACCACCCGAGATCATTGCACTTGCCCTCTTACGGCCATTGAGTGGCACCTTCTACGGAACAGCGATGTACCTCCATGAGCTCCTCTCTTCTCATATCAGACCTCCACAGGTTGGCTTCCCATGACATGCTCGGCATTTCTTGCCCGCTGTAATGAGATATGGGTATCACAAGGTTTTCCAAGCCTTCTGGGCCACGCCTTTTGCATTGGTGGTGCAACGGAGTTGCTCTTGCAAGGGGTTCACCCAGACGTGGTATCCACACAGGGTCGCTGGTCCTCAGACGCCTTCTTGGACTACTGGTGTTGCATTGATACCATTCTCCCTCTCTTCATAGCGTCTTCCGCGAACACGCAACGTCTTCTTGATCTTGACCGAGTCATGGACTCTTTCACACACAACCATCACTTATCTTGTGCCGCCCCATCATCTTAATCCTATTCCTATCCATCACAGTTATCTTATGGGCTCCCCTTTCATCCATCGCTTACAATGTATGCTTACAATGTAATGCACTCACAGAATCTCATTGTCAACGTTCAGCTTTTAATTGTGTGGGTCGGGTCCGAAGGACCCACTCTCCGGTTGTGAGCTTCACTCTAGAGTGGTCTGGGTTCGTGTGTTCTTCGGTCCCTTTGGTCTACGCACGTTCTCAGACATATCACGCTCCGAAGGTCGGTTTTTTATTCATTCTCAAAACTCTTCAATTCCAAACATCTCGGCTTCGGATTTTTGTCTCAGATCACGTGATCCGCCCAGACCCCCGCCCTCTTGCGCTGGTCGGGCAAAAACAAAAACAGACCTTCCCACACAAAAACCGAATCAATTACTTCTACTGATTCATTCCTCAAAACCTCACCTCTCATAGTCCTTTCTCTTCCTCTCTCGTAGTGCCATCTCATCGACTACCGTTCTCCAATCTCAATATTAAGTTCTCGCGACGAAACGATTATATTGACAATATCTCAATTTGCACCTTAACCACGCGATCATACAAAGGAATGTCTGCGATGGTAAATTGGGTTTCCATTTATGGTATCTAAATCAAGATCTATATTTGAAATTAGTTGACTGAGGTGTCACTACCTACTTATGTACATATTTGAATCCGGCCACAGCTGAGGTTCTTCTCCAAGATATCGATGTCGTATCTATCATTTGACCAGGATGATGGTGAGCATTCGTGCCCTCAGAGTTCCGGTGCCGTGCTATGAGTTTGCGCAAGTCTCCCATAGTCATTGGCAGACCTTGCAACTACTAGAATTTGGGAAGATAGCCAGCTGCCTCAATGTGGGCCATGATCCTAATGGATCTCAGTGAGTGAACAGCTTTATTTTATCATTAATAACAACTGCAAGGTCATGTTGGGAGGTATTCGTGCTAGGCATCAATATTCACTGGGTGCATCATGAGGCATACACGAGGGTACCTCACTTCCTCGCAGCTGACGCATGGCTTGCACCCGGCCTCTAGATAAATTTACGGTAGCTCAGAGTAGACTCTTCCCTAAACCAAATCAGCATGGCTCACACCTCAACGGTTTCCTCCCCTCTCCACATCTATGGTACTCAATTCTGGTCATTAAGCAGTATTATCAACCCTGCTGAATATATCCCATAGGTATCACCATTGATTTCAGCAAGTCTACAATGAATGTAGAGTCTGTTGAAGTACGAATGGGCAAGTTACATTCACCAATTGAACGTGAAGCAGGAAACAGTTGGCGACGGACGTTTTCTCCACCCATGTAAGTATTCGACCCCAATGCATGTTCTCACCTGAGTTGCTACTGGGTTTTTTTGCGTCGCAGGGAGCTTTCTCATGGTGATACGTTTTACTTACAAATGCGGTACACGAAATGGTTTGGGATGAAGACCAAGCATAAAGACATTATTTTCAACCCTGAATACATATTCTGTGTGTGTAGTGCAAGCGACAGACAAGGTGAAACAATAATCATCGCATTCTCGCCTTAATCGCTCATGAACTCGACCTCACATGTGTAGAATACAACAAGTTTCATAAAAAAATCAGGATCGTCGTCGAACTTTGTGCGAATACAATAACTGAAGTAAGGATCTACATTTGGCATTGGCCTGGGTCCCGTCTAACTTAGCAGGTTGAGCAGTCTGTCTCTTCCGGTAAAGGCCTTGAGCTCCAGCCTACCACTTCCGAAATATTTTGGAAGTGTCCTTGGTGAGTCACGATGATCATAATGTCCCATTCTTGAGGTTGACACTCCCAAGGTTCCAAATTCTGGTGATAGGAAAGGTATCTGGCTTTCTCCGATCTCAGACCAGTGTTGACGACATGTTTTGAATAGACTGGCGTCGGCAAGTCTTCACTGATCAGCCATGTATTCAGAGTGGAAGAAATGGTGCCTGTTCACGACACCCAAAACACGGAAATTTACTGATGCTGTTTCCATAGCTCATTTCGCATGTAATGCCGGGAAAAGCTGACATCGACACTGAGTTCATCTCACGACAGAATGAAAGATTTGTTCTCCATGATAGCAAAGGATTCGAGCCAGGAGAAGGGGGCAGCCTCAAAATAGTCCAAGATTTTATCGACCGAAGGAACATGTCTGCTCCGGAACATCAATTGCATGCTGTTTGATAGGGGTTCTATCTCAACTATTCCGCTGTAGTGGACTGACTAAAATATACGGAAGGCTTTGTTTGCAGATACCCCGTGCAGGCAGTCGTTTACTAGAGACAGGGACAGAGGAATTTTTGAAAGATGGCAAAACGCTAGGAAATAGTAAGTGAATCGATAACTATCTCTCTGCTACATTAGAGCTCACACTTTGTTGAAGTTCCCATTGTGGTCGTTCTCACTAAATATGATATGCTCATCGACGACATGGAGCTAAATCTGAACGGAACCTCTGTCGATGGATTGAGCAATGATGCCATCAGGGAACTCACCAAGAACAAAGCAGAAGCTAAGCTGCAGGATATCTGCATTGGACCTCTAAAGGAATTTGCAAGGCGTGACATTCCTTATGCTAAGATCTCTAGTGAGTACCAATACTTCGACAGGTTCGTGTATGCCTCTGAAGTGTAATACCGCAGCCCACAAAGACCATAAGGAGACACTCACCCGCCTGATTGAAATAACTGAAAACTGTATCAATCAGCACTCTGCGCCCGAGGCCGCAGTGATGACCTCCATCGCTCAGCAAGTGCATCCTGGACTCAAAATAGATGCATCAATTCAGTGAGCCTTGCTTTCTTCATTCTTATCTCATGATTTACGCAGCATCAGGGTTGGCAAGAGAAGTCTGTCCTAGTCTCGCGTTGATACTAATGAATGAATATAATCTAAATACTTATGTCTTGCAGGATATTGGAAGGCGCTTGCATCAAGCACGACGTTCAAGAACCGCAAGACGTGGGATTGCCTACATGTGCTTCACACTGACATCGTCAATGTGTGGAACTTCTATGACCCTCATCTTGTAATGGCTATCTTATTTGTCGTTGCCACATACATCCTAACATGATTGGTGCATAGTATTTGCAAAGCCAAGAGTTCAGGGAATTAATGGTGAAAATGGTCGATAAGCTAGAAACTGGACCTACACCCAATCCCACTAAGACCATGTAGGCCAGTCTTTTACGTGACAGTTGGATTTTCATCTCATTGAATGTTTACAGTACTATTGGGCTATCTATGGTGGGCACTATTGCGGGCATCGTGTCCGCTCTGGCAGGACCTGTGGCCCCCATCGTAGTACCAATTGCAGCAAGTGCTGTACTCACTGTATGGGTTCACAATGTGTACCAGATATCGTACGCACCACCAGTTTTTCGTGAGTGAAAGGACATTGACACTTCTTCTTCAGCCATGCAGTGCTTCAGCGCTTCATGTCCTACATCGTCCACTTAACGCTTGTGTTGCAGACACTTTACCTTGTGTCAGAAAGCCAGGAACTCACTTGTAGATCCATCAAGCTTGCGGTCGCTTCCTACCTCGCCTCCCCAATGAGCGGAGAAGTTCATACCTGGATTCAGGAGTATGATAGGCAATTGACCATCCTGGAACGCGTGGATCGCGATACCTTGGATAAAATCATTGAGGTGATACAACTTTATAGCATTGATGCTGAACAAATGTCCAGACTTCGGGAAAATATTCCCTCTGTGGGCTCGTTACCGGACGAACCATGGGAAATCGAGATGTCGTAGCACTCGATTCTTTCTTTCGTGGATGGTTTTGCACGTGGGCGGTGTCTGAGTACTGACGCAATTGTTGATGGTGCTTGCTTGTACGATGTAACTGGATTTACCACACTGTAGTATGTTAGCATCTGCCATTAATATCATGTACTGACTACTAGATTTGACTCGAACCCTTTAACATGCCACGGTATTGCAACAGTCTGTAAAAAGTCCTAACTGGGCCTTGCAACGGATGCTAAACGAGTCACCATAAATTGGAAATGTGGATGAATGGAGTATCGTTCACAATAACGCAGTGTAGGGTACAGGAATATCTAGTTAAATGTCGAAGAATAACGGTAGCAATCTCGGGAACATGCATGTCTTGTTGGGGAGAAATGAGAGAAGGTGTAAATAATCTTGTGGTGGTGTATGAGCTGATATATGTATTGAACATGCATGGGCGGTGTGATGCAGGCCTCATACTCAGATGATGGTGCACTAGATTTAGATGCTTGGTGAGCTAATAATAAAAATAACAAACAGAGTATGATGCATGATGTTCCCCACTGACCTTTAGGATTTCGCAAACGAGTTGCTGTTGTGCTCGATGCATGTCGTTTATCAATCGCAACAACCTGTCGATTTGAATATCAATAAGGTTCGAGCTTCTTGAGTTGCACCAAATGGATGCAAACAACCTAAGGTCCCACTGGATGACTTTCCGTACTATCATTCCCTATAACATGCAAAATTTTCAGCAAAACTTTTGTAGCTCCTCAGCAACATCACATTTTCTTTTGCGAATTTGCCCCATCATAGATTTGTATCTCCTCTACATGGATCTGATTTTTACTGATTTTTAGGATGATGTGGTGTGATGTCGGAGCAAACCTGATAAAACTCAGGGTCTACTCTCTAATCTGCAACATTTTGTCACGTCCTGTCACACCTCGGCACAGTAGCGGCACAGTCGACTTTCGCTCTCCGCAGCCTTCAAACTCTGTCGAAGTGTACACATCGCGGAAGGCTCAAAAACAGTGAATAAATCATTCAGTATTGTGGTTCATTTACTACTGTAATAATTACTGTGGTTGTACTGATGTTGCTGATAGGCTTCTGAATAGATCTGATGCCCTCAATACCTCTGCTGAGTCTGCGCTGTGTTGCCAACTCCGAAATCCACATTACTGTGACTCGCTGGTGTAAAGTGAGGGTGTGAAATATGTAGAGGGTGAGGTTGAGGTGCAGGATGCTGCATCGGGTAATATGGGGGGGTACACCCAGGCAGGGGAAATTCTAGGTGCCGGTTTCTTGACATCGAGGGCTCAAGCGCAGGCTGAGGTTGGTGTCCGAACGGTTCGTGAACTGGATTTGGTGGGGGGATCGCATCCTGTTGTAATTCAGCAGTGTTATTGCCGTCATCGAGACGGCGCCTGTGAGAATGGGTAGGGTTGAATAAACCCTCATAACGTGGATTTTTCTTGAGGTCAGGGTCTTCGTCAAGATGCTGCAGAATCCGCTGGAACACCTCAGCCTTCAGTCCGCTCTCCGATAATCGCAAGGCTGCAGCTATGTCACGTAGCTCCTCCAGCTTCTTGGCTTTGATTGCGCCGGTGAACGCAACTTGGGAATGCTCCTGTTCTGCTCGCCGATCTCGCTTCTCCTGCTCCTCCGTGAGCTTTTTCTGTTTGTTTGCCTCATCCTGACGTTCACGCTCAGCCTGCTCAGCCTCGAGCTCCCTCAGCTCTGCGCGACCTTCCGCTGATGTCAGGACCCTCGAATATGGCTTCATTCATTTCTTTCCTGGCTTCTTGCGAGCTTTCTCTTCTGCCTTGGTGTTCAACCGCTGTTTGTAGTGCTCTGCCATTTGACTGTCATATCCCGTATTCTGGACCTACGTCCGATGATGTTCCCACGCCTTCCGGACGCCTTCCGGATGCACATCCGGACCTCCATACCCTTATCCATGCCTGCAGTCCTCCAGTCCACTATCGGTTCGGATCCGTACACCTTCGTACATCCATATATCCATACCTTCGGACCTCCGCAGCTAAGCCTGCTTCATCCACCCTTGATCCCATCGGATCCGAGCTCATCCTACCTGAGACTTTACCTTCCCTAGACTACCGGATGATATCCATGATCTATATCCTAGTCTCGTCTTCACCTAGATCTCCGGATCCGCTCATCCGATATCCAGACGCCTCATCCGATATCTCTAGACCTCCGGATCCGACCTATACTCATATCCGAAGCTCAAACCTTAAATCAGCGTCTATCTCCTTATGGTAATCCTCTTGACTCCGGACTTCGGTTATCTGTGTTTCCGTCTTGCTTATTGATCCTTGTACTTTGTTCATCTCCGAGTTCATTTGTTTATGTTCCGTTCATACTTACCAATATGTTTCCACATGCTCGTACATAGCATTTGTCTTCAGCTTACTGATCCTCTCGGATCCCGTCCAGTATATAAACCTCTGTACAACTCCTGTAAAGTTTCCTCAGTTCGAATATCATCTTAGATTCTGCTCAACATAGACTTGCTCTCTCGCATCCTAGACTTCACTCATTCTGATCTCGGACTTCGGTCCATCTTAGTATTGCCTTTCCTTAGGCCTAGGGAAGGATTCCCTAGGCCAACCTTCCGGTCCTCCGGATTTATCCTTCCGTCTATATCCATGCTTAGGGATTGACTCCCTAAGCCGAAGCTTTGCCTTTCCGGCACTTCCTGTCTTTCCGAGACTTCTGTCTAAACCCCGTCTATCCGACTCTACCATAGTGTAGTCTACCTCCGTCTGTTTCTACTCCGGACCTTGTCCGTTGTAGCCCTTCTTCTCTTGTCCTAGAATCCTGTCCGCTCCTCCGGTCCTCCGGACGTCGTAACCTTTGGACGTCGCAACCTTTGGACGTCGTAACCTTTGGACAACGCAACCTTCGGACCTCCGGACGTCCTGTCCTTCGGACCACTCCTCCTACCCTATCCTGCTTTGGACTCTGTCCCTTGCAGCCTATCTTCTATGTGTTTCCATCTAGGGAGCTTACCTTCGGATCTAATGCAGCGGGTGAAACTCTTCCAGAGTTTCCTATACTCATCCGAAAGTTTCCCGCGCTCATCCGGAAGTCCTCCAGCACTCAACCAGAGTAGCCAGCCTCCGGAAGTCCTTCGGACTTCATCGGATTCCATCTGGACTTCATTCTGAAATTAAGGGCACGTACTCGGGTAAGGGGCACAGCGCACGAGCTGAGGCCAAGCCCTTCGGATCCGTCTACCCTTGAGCTACGGTCTTAACATTGACCTGCAAAATAACAGTGCATCTCCGCAGCATCCTTTTGGTATTTCAACAATTCGTTCTCTTTACGAAGCCATTCATTCTCTATATGAGCCTCTTGGAGCCGTTCTGATGCGGTCAATTTCGATCCCGGATGATCAAGCGCTGGTGTTACACTTCGCGACATCGAAGCTCATACACTGGCGGATAGTGATTTAGTGTGGCGATGGAATGGACATGTGATGGGAATCGTGCTGCTGGAAGGTATGGATGATGATTCTGAAGTGTGAACATCATAGTTGAACATGCCAGGAAATTTTGAGGGACCAGCTTCTGGCGCCGATGAGAGTGAACCAGGAAAATGTGATGTCGGACCAGCTCTACCTGGGGGTAAATGTTGTTGCGGCATATTGATATTCCCCTGATCTGTCATTTCGCCATCACTACGAGTGCTGGCTTCATCATCCGACTCCGACTCAGACTCTGAAGCCTTATCAGAGTCACTGGCAGATGAGTTCCCTAACTGTGATGGCTCATATGTTTGATCTGACTCATCACTGATAGAAATGGGATCAATGGAATCGGAGAAAGTGGTATCGATGGGAAAGGTGGCCGGGAGGTGTAGCTGGGTGGATGACTCATAACTCGGTCCATAATCTTCTTCCGTGAATATTGCGGCATTTATTGGTCTAGTTCCACTGTTTTTTCATGCCTGCAGAATCGTTTCCTCTTTAAATGCCTCTGCTCTCGCCTTCATGTACTCTTGAATCACATTTCGCTTCTTGATCCCTTCCCCAGTCTCTGCCATCACCACTTCACAGCGTGCCTGCCATTGCCTTTGCAGAGGACCAAAGACACCAACATCAAGGGGTTGCAAACGGTGGGTTGTGTGCGGGGGTAGGCAGAAAAGGTGAATGCCATGTTCTTCTGCTGCTTGATGAAGTTTGATTGTCTCATGGGAACGGTGTCCATCATATATCAGGAGGATCGGCTGACCGGACGAATTTCGTGCTTTGGCTTGTGGCACAAAGCTCTTGACAAACCACTCGGTGCCAATGAAGTCACTGGTCCAACCATTTTCAGACGTCACCACTCTGATATCAAACCACAGTCAGAATTTTTTATTGTGTTGTAGAATGGAGACTCACATGATGTCATCTTCTTCATAATATTCAGGGTATATGTCTGAGCCAGAAAATATGAAGCCAGGCTTCAAACTGGTGCCATCTGCACACACGTGCTCAATCACGGTCACCAACTCGAGTTCGTCACTCTTTGCTTTGACTCGAGCCTTTGTTGACCGTGAAGACAGGTACTTTGTGTTGTCACATTTCCTCCCCCCTCTGAGCTGGATCCCTTTCTTGTCCATGTTATACACATTCTCCCAGGGGATTCCCTCAGATTTCAAGAAGTCATCGAGGAGTTTAAAGTGGTGATTCACGGTTGCGAAGTTGAACATTTGCATCCGCTTTAGATCAATGCCTGTGGGGCACCCTAACTTGATCTCTGGATGACGAGCAAGGAAAATTTCAACCCAATTTTTCCTGGCCCTGAATCTTTCCCACTGAGCCTTTTCTTTTCCTTCAGCTTCTCACTCAGCTCTAATACCTTTGCACAAAGGTTGCACTTTGACAGAGGGTGTCCTGTCATAGCCAGGTACTTTGCCCAGTGACATAGGGTTTGTTCCTGTCCTTCGGTAAGTAGCTGTTGGAATTTGTGGGCCTTCGAATGGGGTTTCGTGAGGTTCTGTGCACACCGATGAAGGGTATGGTATGGCACATTAAACTGGCCAGCTGCTGCCAAGAGGTTTTTAGCCCTATTCTCTCTAACAGCCTGGATAGCAGCTGCAATGTTAGCCTTGCGAGTAACATCTTCTTCAGCCTTTTTTTGAACTGCTTTCCTGCGGTGTGGTGCCATTGGAGAGAATGATGTGACTTCTGTAAGACTCGAGTGCAGAAGAGAGGCGCCATGTATGCCGAGGAGGAGTTTGAATTACTTACACATCTCCCCTGTCCTGTGTCACACTTTTGTACTTGTCGTTGATTCTACCACTGTAGCACCTCAGCGCAAGAGAGTAATGTTTATCGAATTGGTTTTCTGACATCCCTGGAAGGTGTTCATTGTGCGCCCTAGGTAAATTTTTTACAAATACCTTTGCAGGATCTTTGGGATCTGGACGATTTGTGTTGGGCGAAGGTTTCAAAACACCACTATTTCATCTCTCGTAGCTGCAACATTCCAAAATCTTTTATTCTACTTGTACAAAACATCACTTATAGGTACTCTGCACATGCTTGAATTTTTCGATGTCAGTTAAGCATGATGTTGAGGTGCTATGAACTTTTTGCATATTAGCAACTGTGGACATATTACAGGGAATGATAGTAGGCAAAATAATCCAGAATAGAATATACTGGAGTCTCAAATGCATTACCAATACCGCTGATATGTTAACCTATACTAGAATAATCCCCCATGCGCGCAGTCCAATAGATTTGGTCCAGCCCTTGATGGACCATCATGATGATCTTGCAATCCAGTACCTGCTTCTCGACGAGGATGAGGCTGAACTTCAATTCGATGACGATGAAAGAGCTTGGGTCCTGGCAGCTGCTATCATTGGTGGGAGTGAGGTAGCACGACAAGACCAGATTGACACTCGGCACCCTCAATCATCTATATCTTTGCTGACCCCAACTACTTCCAAATCCTCGCATGAACACCCCATGGCAGGCACTATATGACAGCCAGAATGATCGAGCCTTTATCACCACAATGGGTGTTGATGTGCCCACCTTCTCTTCACTACTTACTGCAGGCTATGCGCAAGCCTGGTTTGAGACGCCAATTCCTCATGATGATGTCTCCGCGCATAGAAATCCACGGATAAATCAGCGCTCCCTTGATGCCGTGGGGGCACTTGGGCTTGTGCTACACTATCTTAGCTCCACTATGCATGTTATCAGCCTCCAGCAGATCTTCGCCATCATCCCCAGTACTGTCACTCAATACCTTCACTTCAGTCTTAAGCTTCTCCTATGTACCCTCCACACTCTAACAGATGCCAAAATTCAATGGCTGGAAGGCTTAGACTTCGAGCACTGTAGCGCACTTGTTGTGGCCCATCATGGGAGACTTGAAGGGGCATTTGGTAGTGTTGATGGTCTCAAACTACCGGTGCAAACGTCGGATGATGTTGACATCGAGAATGCGACATTTAATGGGTGGCTCTCAGAGCACTTTATCAGTTTCTGTGTTAGCTGTTTCAGCTGAAGGTAAGTTCGATGCAGTGTCCCTGCTCTAGCCTTGATTAACAACATTACAGGGGTGATTATTGCTGCAAGGCTGAATGCCCCAGGCAGTTGGCACGACTCACGTCTCGCTCATCAAATCTATGCATCTCTTCGAAACGATACTCCCCCTGGTTATTATGTTGTCGCTGATACAGTGTTCCCGCGTGGCAGCAATGACATACAGGGCCGAATCCACGCACCTCCCAAACAAGGCCAACGTGTTCAAGGCTCACTCGCTGAGATTAATGAACAGATGGCATTTAATCGCAAACTGCTTTCATACCGGCAGACTGCTGAATGGGGGATGCGTGGTCTTCAAGGTGCTTTTGGAAGATTGCATGTACCACTTGAAATCGCCGACAAAGACTCATGGGGTGATCTCATCGAAATATGTGTTCGTTTGCACAATCTGCGTGCAATCCATGTCGGTATCAATCAAATACGGACGGTGTACCTCAAACATTGGCAGGAGACACTTGATGACATTGCTGTGTGGCATGATTTCGAGAACATGTTGTTTTCAGAGCAAAGGCAGAAAGATCGCGTTACACGTTTTCATGTCACGCTAGAGTACGAGTAGCTCAAGAATTTGATTAAATAACTGGACTACAACAATGAAATGACATATCTTTATCTGTATAAGCTGCACGAGTACCTTTAGCGAGAGAAGCAAGAAACATATCTAAGCTGCGTGAGTGCCTTTAGTGAGAGAAGCGAGAGAAGCGAGAAATTGATATAAGCTGCGCAAGTGCCTTTAGTGAGAGAAGCCAGAAATTGATATAAGCTGCGTGAGTGCCTTTAGTGAGAGAAGCGAGAAATGATACCTTATCTATCTAAGCTGCGCGAGTGCCTTTAGTGAGAGAAGTGAGAAATTACACCTCTGGTGTTTGACAGTTAGCCGACTTCCTCATTGGCAGGTCCACATCATCCTCCTCACTCTTGATGTCTGTATGCACTTGGGTCTGTTCCCTATTAGAATGAATGACCACAGAATTGCATGGGCGCCCTGCACCACGCGAACGGGGCCTGGATGCCCAGCGGCGGTAGGCAAGGCGAGGAGAAGGAGTGGTATTGAAAGGAGGAGGAGTAGGATGCATATATTGAGGAGAGGTTGGAGGATGGTCTGAAGCGTCTGACGCTGGGGTCTCTGGATCACTGTGCCAGATGACACTTTGACCTCCGTCAGGGTAATAAGTATAGTCCACGTGTTTTTGGTTTTGGTTTGCGCCGGTGACAAGATTTGGGAGCAGCTTGGTTGGGAGTAGGCTGGTTAGCTTGTGTCATCTCCAGGCGAAGCTGGGTAAGGTCACACTTGTGTTCAGTAGTGTAGAGTCTGGTTTGGAGGTCGAACAGTTGGGTCCGCAATTTCTCGGTGATGGCGTTTGCATCACGCAGCTGCTGTCCCTGGGTAAGCAACTGTGTGTTTGCAAGAGTCCTGGTGGCACGATTCTCGTCTCGAGCTTGCTGAACAGCAGGTCAAAGGCCCCGCTGATGCGAGAAAGCAGCTCTGAGGCTGCTGCACCTTGGCAGCGTGCCACCGGTGCATCTGTCCAAGTGGCACGGGTGACTGCAGTGTGCTCGAGGGGGGACATACTTCGCTCCTTGACAGGTGGGTCGTTACAATTCAACTCATCGTCCTAGGTGTCATAGTCCGAGTTGTTGAGATCGTGTGTGCCAGCACGCTCGTTGATGCGCGCATCAAGCTCATGGGCTCGAGTCACATCAGGAGGACACACTCCGTCACCAGTGGGCTTCATAGTCTTCACGAACTGAGGTTGCAAGGTGAGATGTTAAGATGCCATTGTAGAACGAACTAGAACTTACTTGTTTGAATTTGGTTTCGAGTGACTGGGCTTTACGGTGAGGGTGTTCGTTGCGGCTTGCCCACTGCGTGAACTTCAAGTGGATCGCTTGCCACCCTTTCTGGCCCAGAGGCAGCTCGTCTTCGACAAAGTCCAGGAGGGCCTTGACGTCCGCTGAGCTGTAATTGTTGGAACTGTGTGGGCGGCCACGTTTGGCCCTCGGATCATCTTCATCATCCTCGAGGGCACGTGCATGCTTTTGAGGGCAGTCACCTCCATTCATGTTAGTATTCTCCTTATCCTTACCCTTGCCTTTGGTAGCTTTGGTCACAGTCTTGTGATGCGCGCCGCCAGCTTTGATAGCAGGCATGTATCCATGAGATTCGGCAATCATCAAAGGGTTGCAAAGGTCTCTGTCTGGTGAATCCGGGAGTGGGATATGAACTGGGTCCTGGTATGCGCTAGACAGCACAAGGTGGGACCCAGATGGTGAGGGTGGTGGTGACAAGTGAGGTTGGGAGAAGTTGGCCAGAGTCGTAAGTCCATACATCAAGGGCGCAGCAGCATGTTGATTACATGTTATTGAAGGTCAGAGAATAACAAAGACTCACGCCATATGCCTGCATCAGTAAACTACAATGTTCTGTACAGAGCTGTACAGGGTCACAGTGCCACAGCTTGGTCCCCCTGTGACAGCTCTGCACAGAACCTCCCAGTGCCACAGCTCCCAGTGCTACAGAGCTCACAGTACGACAGCATTGTTTAGCAAATATAACAAAACAAATTCGCTTTTTGACACTATTAATGTGCCAATGCCAGGAATTGAACTTGTGACCTCACAAAGTTCAGCAACAACTTCAACACAAAGTTACCATTTACACCATAGTGTCTTTATTTTTCCTCACTCACAATAACATATATACCAATGGGTTCTCAAGCCTCAATATTGTCTCCCCATTGAAATCTATAGTCAAACCTCATTATAACTTGCCCTTATTGAGATCTTGAGAAGAATTAAACCTTATTGTAACATATTTTTGACTAGAAAAACTTGAAGGTTTAGTGCAAACTGTAAAAATTGTGAATTTTAACAAGCTTTAGTCAATAGGTTTAGCACTTTTTGTCCTAACAATGAGTTTGAATAAGCTTTGGTTTGTACTAAGGCTTAGTGTTGTTGAACTGAAGAAAAGACTTGGTGAAAAATTTTGTGAAAAATTTTGTGAGTTCTGTGGCTCCGTGGCTCTAGGATTCTGGGGATTCTGTGAGTCTGTGGCACACTGTGAGAATCTGTGGGAAAAGCCAAAGTCTGTGTGAGGTTTATTAGTCTGCTGTGCTGTCTGTCGCACTGTGAGAATCTGTGGGAAAAGCCAAAGTCTGTGTGAGGTTTAGTGGTTTGCTGATGTGGCAGTCTTCAGAGCGCGGCACTCGAGTGACAGACTGTGCGATCCCAGGATGGGGCTGCCAATGACCCAAGTGGTCATGCGCATATGCATTCCCTGCGTTATCATAGCGCAGCTCGGGAATTGACTGGCTACGAGGGACAATCATACAATGGGAGGGGGTAATGTCAGACATTGGAGGGACTGAAAGTTTAGTAGGTACTTACCTTGTGGGTACCGGTACACAGACTTTATACGTTTCAGGTGTTTGTTCCACCAGATGGAAGGGGTGGGGATATTCATAGTAAAAAAAAGGTCAAGGTCCCTGGGCTGGTAACAGCGCAACACGAGCGCGCAAAGCCAAAATGGAGTAGCTACAAGCTTGCTGACTTTATATTGAGGGATACTGAAGAAAATTTCGTTGACAGAGGGATAGGATTGGTGGGAGGTTGACGCTAGGTTGCATTGGGGCGAGATTGGAGGCACCGGAGGCAGACTGGTCACTGTGGCCAGGTAGTAACTTCGTTACCAGGCACAGACATCCAAGGATGTTGCCAACATCCTTTAGATAACATCTAGATAGTGGCGGGAGAAAGAGACATTAGTATAGTTGACAAAAGGTTGAAACATACCTCGGTATTACTGCGCAAGGTGCTACATTGCATGCAATGTGTCTCGAGCAAGGCTGATTATGTCAGCATATATCGCTGGCGTTAGTGGCCTAGAACAGATGGAAGTCGAGGCCCCCGGAAGCTCCAGCTAATGTACCCCCGCAAAATAGCATTTTTGAGGGCCAAATATCGCAAAATCTCTGCCCGGAAATAGCATTTTTGAGGCACTCTGAACGAAAGGTCTATCCGGCTATTGCATTTTTCACATCCTTCAGGGCAGGTCTATAGGACACTTGTCCAGCGGTGAACCCTATTCCGACCTGTCCCGACTCAAATACACGGCCCCTCAAACACCTCACAAAACAGCTTCTCGTCATCATGCTTCCCAAAGACCTTAAGGGCTGCTCAATTCTAAAAGTTCGCGTTCACTTGGGATCCGAGCAAGTTACAACACTGATTAGCGACGCTTATAACTCCTTGTTTGGAACCGGACGCCGGCCGTCAACCGGTGACTTTCGGAATCATGTGTTATCAACTTGATCAGTTCCCATCATTCAACACGTCGCTCAACATTCAACGGTGATCGATATGCCCTGCGCACAGCAGCGAAAGCAAGACCATAGGGATATTTTAATTTTACATTCTGTTGTGGCTAGTACATTGGCCATATCTAGGCATAAGCAAGGCCACCTTGAGGAGCTTTTCACTCCAGATCATCAAGATCTCGACAACGACGAAGGCAATGAACGGCTCACCCGTTTTTTGCGCAGGACAGCCACGGGCCTTCATGCTCTCTCTCTGATGATATCCGTGCCCAGCTCTCGTGGTCCTTATACCCAGTGGCGAAAGTGCAATGAGTTTTTTGATGTATCATTGAGTTGGCCTGATTGAGACTTTCATCACAAATATCGGTGAGTTGTTTTGTTTTTGATCTTCTTAATGCGCTGATGGTCTGGTAGTGTTAGTCGTGCAACTTTTGACCGTTTAGTGCGAATCTTGGAGGAGAACCCCATCTTCAAATCGACGGGGAGGAAACCACAGCGACCTGTACGCTATCAGCTCGCGTGTTTCCTCCTTCATTATGGGACTCGTGGCGGTGACTCGCTGCAAGCTGCCCACAAACTTGGGATTGGTTTCGGAACTGTGTTCCTCTATTGCAAGCGTGTAGTCCGTGCTCTGCGGGAGATCAGCATGCAAGTAGTCACATGGGGTGACGAGACTCGTCAGAACGAAACGACACGACGGGTTTTGGACCGGTCGGGAATTCCAGATTGCATTGGAATGCTTGATGGCTCCCTCATACGGCTCACCGAAATGCCAGATCGGAATGGCCTGACATTTATTTGTCAAAAGAAATTTCCCACTGTAAGTAACTCTCAAACACAACATTTTCTGTTAACTTACTTGATACGTAGATCAATGTTCAAGCCGTCGTCGACCACGAGAAATGATTCACTGCAATCGAGCTAGGGTGGCCAGGATCAGTCTCGGACATGACGATGTGGAAAAAATCTCACATCTGGCAACATCGGCTCAATTATTTCCCAAACAATACTCTCCTTCTCGCGGATAAAGGTATATTCTTTGTGACCCTCACATCTTTTCATGCACTGACCCTGAACCAGGCTATCCATCATCACCCTACATCCTTCGTCCATTCACTGAACCCGAGGTCAATGGGCAGCTGCCTGCCGAAAAAAAAACGCCGCCGCAAATTCAACAAGTGTTTGTCTTCACAGCGCATCATTGTTGAGCATACCTTTGGTTTGCTCAAGGGCCGTTTTCCCTCTTTAAGGGATTTGCCACCTGAACAGGACATTCGAGATACTTACCGTGTTGTCGAGGCACTTTTTGCCCTGCACAATATGTGCATTGACCTTGGAGATGTCCCTGAGCTCATTCCGTTGTTTGATAGTTCTGACCCTGATCACGACAACACCGAGGATGATCAAGCTGATGTCGATATCTCTGGCTATGGTGGAGTTGTTGGGGATGATGAACCCGAACTTCCTGCATGGGAGTCAGACGAGTGGTTGAGGGAAGCTGGCCGTCGTCGTCGTCTCACAATTTTAAATGACCTTTTCCCATTAGATACTTGACAGCAATTACTGACCTGCAATAGTGAAATAATTCAATAACACTTGATGAGCCGCTGCTTTCACCTCTTCCAGCATCCCATCCATACACATATTGCAGTAACATATCTCCGTATTATACGAGTGAACGGATGTGCATAATATCCCGTATGATACGGGCCAGCGAACCATGGGCCGAAGGTAGATATATCCTCGACTGTGATGGATGGGCTGGGAGTGTTATTATTCCCGATGGAGACGGGTTGGCCCAGGTGGGGAATATGTAAAGTAGATGGGTGGGCCAATGGACATGAATTTCAATAGACGGATCGGCTGAGGTAGTTGGATATTATGTAGATGGGGTGTACCAAGGTAGATATGTATCAAATAGCCGGGTATATCAAGGGGTGCTTGTTATCACATAGACAGGTGGGCCCAGATATATATCATATTAGATGGGTGGGCCGACGAATTAATATATTTTGTAGACAGGTGGGCCGACGTATTGGTATTATTTTGTAGACGAGTGGGCCGAGGGAGCGGTGAAAGATTTATTATATACGGGTGGGCCAATGGTAGACATATATTGCATAGACGGGTAGGCCGACGTAGGGGTATATAATATAAACGGTGGGCCCAGGAGAATGATAATTGTAGACATGATGGAGCTCAGCTAGTTGTATATCATGGAGGTAATAATTCAAAGTCATCTAATGATGTAGTATGGCATGGAGCCTTGCAAAGGGGTGAAGTGGAAACTCGAGCGAAGTGTACCGAGTTCCGAGACCCGGGTCTCGACAAATGAATATGTGATGTCCAGCACACTTCCGATCGTCTGGTATTTCATTGAGCAATATATGATAATAGATCTTGAAAGCCAACATCATCCAAGCCTACCAAATGCCAAATGCCAAGTTCCAACTACCCGAAAATCAAGTGAAGTGTACCAATATCCGAGCCCTGACTATCAAATCCCGACAATCGACCATTGAGTCCTGACTACCGAGTCTTGAAACCCGAGTCCCAAAGCCCGAGATTTGAGTCCTGAAACGCAATGCCCAACCATTGAATCCCAACATCGAGTATCAAGTCCCAACCAACGAGTCCCAAATATTGAGTCCTCCCGACCATCGAGACCCAACACCCAACACCCAACACCCAACACCCAACACCCAACACCCAACACCCAATACCCAACACCCAACACCTGACAACCGACAACCGACACCCGACACCCGAGATTCAAGACTCAAGTTCCGACTATGGAGTCCCGGATATCAAAAATCAAGTGAAGTGTACTGAGATCCGAGTCCAACCTGAAGGATTCCTTAGGCTGGACTTCCAAACCTTGGATTTGTCCTTCCATCTCTATCCAAGCTTAAGGATTGATTCCTTAAGCTGGACCTTTGCCTTTCTGGCACTTCCTGTCTTTCCAAGACTTATGTCTACTTCCTGTTATCCTCCGACTCCACCTAAGTGTAGCCT